AAGTAACTAACTAAATTTAAGTACTACCTTAACTAACTAATTAAATTAATTAGTACAATTAATTAGTACGTTAGTTTTTATTGTTATTCTATGTGTGTATATATATATATATATATATATATATATAAAATACTGAGTGTAGGGTTAAAGGCATTTTTGTGCAGTTTGAAATTACATAAAAATGTATATACAATGAGCATTTGAGGATGTTGATTCATTCAATATTATATAACTTATCTAAACATGTATTTCTAAATTGATACTTTTACTATTAAAGAGTCACAAAATTTTCAATAGAAATGTTGAATAGACTGAAACTTGCATCTGTTAGGACTACTGTGAGTAGAGCTGAGAATGAGCAGCAATGGTGTTTATGAGTATTGACTGATAATTGGCTTTTTTTTCTCCTGAAATTGTAAGTTCTCACTTATTGTAATGATTTATTTAACTCATTTTGATTTCTCTCTTTTAATTATTAGTATAAGCCAAAGTGTTAATTTTAATTTTGTAATACCATTGCTAATTAACTACATAAGTCTCAATCATTATCAAAGATAAGACAAAGTTAAGCATAAGAGGCATCAAGTATAACTAATTACCAAAAAAACACAATGGCTTATGAAAAAATAACAAACAAAAACATTTTGTTTGTTTTCTTGTAAATCTCAGTTTTACTCGAAAGTACAATTTTTAAGGAAGATTTGTTTTTCAGGAATCCTTAAAGGTGCAGATCTCAATACATTGTCTTCTAAAAAAGCCCGAAAGCAGCTAGAAGAAAAGTTTGGAACTGATTTGACAGACAGGTGGAAAACAATGTTTTGTTTCTTAATTTTTATAATATGATGGTATTTAAAAATAGAGACATATATAGACATACACACAGGTTCAATTTAGCATAATTTTTTAGCATTAAGTGTATTAGAATTAGCTCTAAGATGCCTGGGTGCATCAGTTTGATGCACCTGTGGTATTATATGTTTTAATGTGACAGTTAAGAAACAGCTAAAAATGGTTATCTTAATTGTAATTTTAATTAATAATTTTTATCTTTTCCTACTTTCTTGTAAAAATTTCTCATTGGAGTTTTATTTTGTAAAATTGTTAATTGTTTTCTTCATTTTGATTTGAAAAACACTGCACAGTTTTATTGTTTTTAAGATTACTAGAATACAGTAAAAATAATGTTATCATTCCAAAATTATATACAAGTCAACCTTTGTTAGAATTTTTTTATCAGAAGGTTTCATTTATTAATATATGTAATAACTTTTAAATCCAATTTATATATATATATATGTGTGTTTGTGTGTGTATACACATACAAATAATCAAAACACATATTTTTTACATTTCAGTAATTTCTTTGCCCATTCAAACAATTAGTTAGACTGATAAAGCCTAATGTAAACACACCCAATACAGCTGCCTTGTTGTCAAAACTTGATACAGTCACATACAGAATGACTTAATAAAGCCTACCTCATCTTGTTCCATGAAAAACATTTTGTTTCCTATCATACTGCTACATGATAATTCAAATAAAATAGAAGATGATGAAGTAAACCTTAAAAATAAATCAGGACTGTAGTTGTAACAGAAGTTGTTCTTCTAGGCACATATCATCAAACTAAGCTTTTACCACTTTGCTCTGTTTTCTTTGTGAATATCCACAGAATTAGAAGTCACATTCACTTACACAGTTAACAATAACGGAAAAAGAGCTTTCATTACAAGTTTAGATCACTAGCCTATGACTTCTCAAAGCCGAAATATAGGCAGTTACACTACCCTATGACAACTCTGGTTGAAAAACGGAAATAGGCTGAAATCAATAAAACTTCACTTGTATTTAAGATACAATGTTCACATTAGCAATTTTTTTTTCAATACTATTTCGACTTTCCTCCTACAAGTGCTGTATTATGCTCAGAAAAAATTAAGGATACTCACAAACATTAGTGTTTCAGTTGTTTATTTTCTTTAACAGGTTAACAGGGTAGGATGCACTCATCCATGCATGATAGAGTTAAGTTTTATTACTAACCATTTTTGAAATATGAATTAAAATAAGAGCTAATGATGTTTTTAATGGTGAAACAAGGATTTTGAATTTTTGAAAGAAAAAAAAAACTTACTTTTCCTAGAGACAAAATGCTAGAAAATCCAATCCACATAATACATGAAGTATGTTATAATTTTTGGCAATTCTCTTTTATTTATGCAGTGATGTAGTGGTAAAATGTTTTGTGCCAGAGCGCTAACTAAATCCTAATCAATTTCCTGCCGTTGGATAATATGTTGGCTGCATTTCAGACATTTAATTTGTTTATATTAACCAGCCACTTACCAGTTAAGTTTATATAACCAACGTGTATATCTGAGTTCTAAAAAAACAGTGGACATATTATCTGTAGCCTATATGTAGTATCTCCACATTATAAAAGATTTATAGGTGTATTACTTGTGTACTTCGATACGGATTACTTCTCACAAGATTAGCTTTTCCCATTTTGTGCTGCTCTCTATATACAAACTTTTTATAACACATGCCACAAGCCTTCCACACCCCCCTATTGGAATAAAAGATTCCAACATATGTCTCATGCAAATCAACATGCATCATCTCTCCACCAATAGGAGAGCACTACTATCACATGACACATGTGACTCCCTCTATGTACCACTACTGAACCATCAGTTCTCATTTGGTAGTGCTCAGGTTCAGACATCTTTCTTTTTGTTCATTAATTCTCGAAGTGGTTTGACTTAATTTACTTTATTTAGAGAAATTTTTTCCACTTTATTTTTTAAAGCATCTGATTTACCCGTGTTTTGCCGCAAAATATTTTCCCTTGTTTGTTTGGTATCAAGCATGAATTCTGAAGTTAACGTTACCACTTTGGGTACATCTCATTTGTCTAAAGCCATATATCAGGCCACAGGTGCAAGCAACCTGTCAGGGGATTTATTGGCCTTTATTTGTAGGGAGATTGAGCATTATATGGGACAACCTTTGTCTCCTGCTGTCCCACCCACCCCCTCGGAGTTTGCCGTGCTTTCCCAAACCCTACCTGGCGATTCTGTTTGTGATGTTTTGTTTATTGCTCCTATTTCTTATGACCCACGTCCTTCCATATTACACGATTCTGCCTCCTAACCTTATTTAGTTTTTTCCACGTCCCCTGATAATAGGGTTCACACTGAGCATTTTGCCTCCCAGTTAGATGATGGCATAAGTATGCCTCATCTCCCATGGGCTTCTGATCAGTCTGCCCTCACTTATCATAGGGTGGACTGTCCATATCTGGACCAACAATTGTTGGGTTCACTTTTATCTGAATCTCCCGTTCATCTTACCAACGCCCAAGGCTTTAGGTGAAGCTGGTATGATCTTCATCATACCCTTGTGCAGATTTTGGTACACAGCGAGGACATTTTGGATGTAGTTGTCTTACAGAGTACGAGCTACCGCTCCCTAGCCATTCTACACCATGGGACACATCTTTCATTACCCCCTTCTGTGGGATTGACTTTCTGTATTTATCTAGTTGGAATCACTTTTCTGACTTATCTTCTCCCGCTCGGATGTGCTCCCTTCCTTTTCCATCATGTTTGTTCCTAGCTGTTCATGGCAAGGAGATACCTGTTTCAGAAGTGGTGAGGTGCCCCTCCTCAGATCATATGATCTGTTTCTCTCATCCACAGAAGTATCCTTTGGATGCTTTTGGGCGGTATGTCTGTTCTTCCCTCCCACTGGTCCCTCCTCCTTATCAATGTGGGATTCTAGCTAATCTAGTGAGAAGAGGAAAGTTCTGTAAAAGAAGTTGTATTTTTTCTATACTGAAAATGTATTTCCAGTAGGTACTTCCCTCCACTTGCACTTCCCACCCTCCTCCCTACAATTTTCTGGTGCTTATGTTTTCTGCCAAACTTCGAAGTGATGGTTCAGTAGTGGCGCATAGATGGAGTCACCTTCATCACAATATTAGTGGTCTCCTATTGGTGGAGAGATGACGCATGATGATTTGCATGAGAGACATGCTAGAATCTTGGATTCCAACATGGGGGTGCGGAAGGCTTGTAGCATGCATTATAAAAAAAAGTTTGTGTATAGAGGGCAGCACAAAATGGGAAAAGATAATCTTATGAGTGGAAGGAAGTACCTATCAGAAATACTTTTTCAGTATAGGAAAATTATAACATTTGTGAGTCATCATTTTAAACATAAAGTTATTTTATGTTTTTAAATACAGCATTATAACCTTAAAAGTTAAATACTATAAAATATTATATCTGCAATTTAAGTTTATTTTATAATTACATGTACTTATTTTAATCACAAAACAAATAACAGGAGAAGCATTCTGGTCTTACTGCTTTACTGTTTGTGTGTGGGTTTGAAGATGTTTAGAAAATGTATTTCCAATTTTGAACAAGCTTTTTGTGATTTTTTATTATTTTATATATATTCTTCCTAGAACTGACATTCGAACTTTACTGGGGTCTTGCAATAGACAAAAGCTATTTAATAATATTGTTGCATTCGTTTAAATATGTTTGTTATTGTTTTTTAAATGAAGGTTTGTGAACTAAAGGGATATGTGTATTGTAGGTTTGGTTTGAGAAGTATACATTTTAAAATTTTTGTGTATATGTGCTGAGCCTTCCATATCATAGAATTTTCAGGAACTTTCATGGCTCTCAAGAAAGATAACTGGAATGTTTTTCTGACAATAGAATGAACAATGGTAAAAAAAATTATTGTTCAATGGGCAAATATAACTCTACAACTTGTTGTCCTGGCCATTGGATGATATGAATTCCTCACATCTGCTAAAAGCTTTTATAACGTCTTTTCTTTGTTATTCAAATAAAAAGTGAGAGACACTTAAAAGTCCAGTGGAAGTAAGGATTATCTCTAGCTTTTTTTCTTGTGCATGCATGTTGTTTCCTAAAGGTTTGGGTGCCTGCCTAGTAGCAACTGTAATCTTTTTGTTGCATAAAACAGGAAAAAAGAAATAGACAACATGTTGATGGAAATGATCACAGCCAGTTCTCAGGAGGAAACAGCAGATTCTGACAAAGAGAGCAATCATGAGACTGCCGAATCAGATGAAGAAAATAAACAGGATGGTTCAGCCTCTGAGTCGAAAAATTCTAGTTCTGAAGAAAAATCTGGATCAGACAGTGAAGTAGGATTTGATTTCAGTTTCAGATATGTTTTATGGTTTTGAATGTTGTGCTTTGTTCTCTTGGAGATCTTTATGCAGTTTATAAGCACTTGCAAACATCTGATTTAAGGGTATGAAATACTTATCATATGCATTAGTCTTTATAAACATGTAACAAACCATATACCTTGTTTTTACATACCAGCTTCTATGAATTTATTGTAAGACAGAGTTTCATTTTCAATAGAGAACATACATTAAAAACTTGTTTAAAAGAAAAGTCACACTATTAAAATCACCAGATCCTAGATAAAACCTTTCAAAATCTATGCCAGCTATGATGTGTCTGTACCTGAATGTATGTATTACAGTACTTATATCAGTATTTTGTGTCATTATCTATGTGTAACTAGTGAAATACCTAGATCCT